AAGAATTGAAGCATGCATTTCTAATGAAGGATGGCCAACTGAATATTAATTTTTTTTTGTTCCCAATCAATTTAATTTTTTGACGATCAAAATGGAAAAAAAAACTTTTGTTGAAATTCGTATTTTTTATTTATTAAAGTTTCACATAAGCTGAAAAAATAAAATTTTACATGAATATTTTTCAAAACCTAAGCTATAAAATAATATAAATTCTATGTGCGGGTATTATGTATGTTTTTGGGTAATTAATGTAAATAGGTGTCCAAATACTTTTTTCCAGGTAGTGTATATATAAAAAATTTATTTTTGAAGTGCTAATTAATGTGGATATACACCACTGATTTAAAAAAATTTTTTTTTTGATTTTAATTTTATAGATTAAAAAAAATAACCAATCATTCTAATGGGCAATGTATTGCACATTTTATGCATTCAATTTGTTCCTATATATAATATTAAAAATAAAAAAAGTTAATATTTTATCTTAAATATGATTATATTTTATATTATATATACATACTTCATCATTAAATGATGGTGGTGATGGTAGTGGTGGTGGTGTTGGTGGTGTTGGTGATGATTGTGATGGTTGTGATGACCACTATAAATATAAGTAGTCTTTTTTACAGTGACGTTTTTTTGACAAGGACCCAATGTTGAAGGTTATATTCATTTTTAGTACATCTTTTTTTTGTCTTGTTATCCAGGGTTGGCAAATTGACTGGTCCATTGAGAACAGATGGATTTTGGACTGGTCCATTGTCATTAATAAAATACTAAATATGGTTAAAGTATCAACTAATGGACTACCAATAGACCATCAATGGACCGCACATTTGCCAACCCTGTTGTTATCACCATCATTAATACTAATATTACTTTCATTGTATGATTCTAATTCATTATTTATCATACCACTAGCACTAGCATTATTTTCATTGTGCAATTCTAATTCGTTGTTTATCATACCACTAGCACTAGTGTTATTTTCATTGTATGATTATAATTCATTGTTCATCATACCACTACCACTAGTATTAACATCACTATCGTCCTGCCATATTGTTACTATTTTAGTTGACATCTAGATATTTAAATTATGAATAATTAAATCTTTTTGCTAAAAAAATTTTTTAATAGAAACTAATTTAAAGATACCTTCAATTATTTGATTATTATTATCATCATTGTTAAGGTTAACGTCATCCTGTAGCTTTTAAAAAAAATATACATGTAAAACATATTAGATTGAAAAAATAACAGAAAATTTTGTTAAAAAACTGATGTTAATAATAACCTCTAACAATTGCAGCCACCAATAATAACTAATAACTAGAATGACAACAAGTTGCAACGCCAACAGCTTCTACTGTAAATTCACGTTGTCTTTTATTTGAAAACAACATTTTTTATTTATTGGTTTTTCAAAGTGGATTGTTTATTTTTTTTTTTGTTGATGATGCAAGTCACCTTTTTATTGGCTGTGTAGATCCTTGATCTCAAAAATGGAAATGTATGACCTTTCCCTACAATCCAATGATTTCATTTCATTGATATGTAACGTTACCATAGAGGAATGTTCACGAATTTACTATATATATTACTATGTTTACCCCTCAGATGGCGTGTTACACAAAAATTATATTAAAAATGAACGAATTGGAAGAATTGAAATCTGAATTTTTTATGGCCGATATTTATCACGTGATAATAATAATAATGAAATTTTACAACTGAGAACAATCATGCATGCCATGCTATGCAAGATCAAAAATTTATCTATTTTAGCATCATGTTGACATTAAAATTAAGTTGGTTTGGATTGTGTCTTCATTGCAAAGAGCAAAAATCACATCATTTTGGTCAAGACAATATATTTGGATAAAATTCTGCCCTTGACAATCTTCAAAAAACATGTGACTAAAATTTTTATTGCATTTTTGATTGGAATATTTTTCTCAAAATTGGCATCATGGCACAAAAAGTTCAGCAACTAAGTGACTTGCACTATACAAGAAGCCCACTATTTTATAATTATTTTCTTTTTTCAAAAAAAAAAAAAAAAAATTAGACATGAGTTCAAAACAAGGAAACTGTAGCTCTGCCAAAGAAGACATGTTGTTTATTGACAATGTCAGGTACAATTTTTGTGTTGATTGATATGTGTCTTTTTTTATATATGAAATATCTTCTTGAAATCAAAATGTGTAGCAGAACTTGTCATGTTTTGGGTATTTATATGATTCTTGATGATAATAAATAAACAATTGGTATCATTTGCTATATATAATCACAAAATGTCAAGGCAACATGACTGACCATTGAAAAGAAACGATTTCAATATGTAACATTTGATTATCAGAAACTTTACAGACATCAAGGCACATGTACTCCTTGAACACTTTACAGTAATTCACACACATTCCTAGTGTCCACAAGGCTAATCTGACTAGCATGCCCTGATGATACAATGATTTCAGGGAGATGTGACTCTGAAGTTTATCAAGGCTGCACCATTGTTAAGGACGTTTTTGCAAACTCTACCTAATCTTCCCTCACAGCACCTGACCATAGAATGCTGAAAAGTTGCCTGCAACAATCCTACCTCTAGGGTGAAGATGGTTTGCTCTGCAACCAAAAAGTTGTGCAACTCTGGAGGTTGCAGCATTTTGAAGAGTTGTAATGTTAGGAATGCACATAGACATCTAGATCCATCAAAACAATGAGAATCTGCAACTTATTTCAGGCCCAGAGAGGAATTTGCAATACAAGGTGGGATTAGGACTCTGAAATTGCATTTGTACTCTTTCCTAAATTCTCTGTTTCTTTGACATTAATCAAATTTATGTTTTTGGACAAGGGCATGGGTTTTTGCCCAAATAGTCCCTGTCCTATAAATTAAAATTGTCATATGATTATACATATCTTTGTTAATTATGTTCTTGATGAAGATGAAATTACAGGTAAAGGCCCCAATGGTACACTTTAGTATGGAATTAAGAGATTAAATAAGGGTGAAAAGCATTTAAAGATTACTTGTGATAATGCTGGGGAACAAAATAAAAACAATGTAACAATTTGGTTTTATTTATATTTGGCAATTTGTGGTTATTATGAAACTATTGAATTAAATTTCATGGTTCCAGGACATACCAAATTCAAATGTGATGGTAGTTTTGGACTTATTAAAAAACTCTGCAGAAAAACAAGAGTAGATTGTGTGGGTCATGTGGTTGATGTAGTGAAAAGGTCCAGTCCAGCAGGATTGAATAAAACTCAATGTTATGAAGATGGAAAAGATTTTCAATACTTGGATATTAAAGCAATTTTGGGAATTTATTTTAAGAAATTGCCAAATATACAGAAATATCAACATTTTCTTTTTGAAGCATCTAATCTTGGTGTTGT